GCTACAGGAAGTCTTAGTATACATCTGTTTAGCTTATAGTTAATGAAAGGAGGTTCAGTTTCATGTGAAATCACAGAATGCCTTCATGTAAATACGGGACAGCTTTCTTCTTCTGCAGTTTAAAAGGATAGTGTAGTTACTGTAAATCCACAACAAAACATTATGAAACATGGTAGTTGTTCATGATTAATAGAGTAATGCAAATTAATTTAACAGTGTTAAATATATTCACATGATCAGTACTGTGATTCAAAATGGCCACTAATGAAGTTACACATCAATATATGTACATAACATTTGTCACAACAGCGTTTTGTAAGTTTGACTTTTTTCAGACCAAGTAATTTTACAAGACAATCGCGTATCAATTCTTTCATATTATGAAAGGAATACAATGTTATAATAAGTAGCTTCCTTCCGCTGGGTGAGAGGCTGGCAAGTAGGAGAACTCTTAAAAAGTCAGTGCAAATTGAAGAGAGTTCTACCTTCTTGAATGCTTAAATTTGTTGACCAGGATCGATTCCAGTAAGTTGAGAATACACAAATCTTAAGATATGAGAGAATCTCCTAAGGTTGTCAGCTGCAGCCAGCAGGTGTCTGCCACAACGAGGAAGCCCACGTCCTATAGCAGGGCCTTCTGAGAGTACGGCTGCTGGGGCTGAGGTGGCTGCTGAGTGCCCACGGGCTGAGGCAGAGGTGACGATGTCAAGTTGTAGCTTGGCACCTGGGACATATTAGTTCCTGCATTCTGGTAGACGGCGACGTCAGGAGCAGCGGCAACAGCAGCAGCAGGAGGTGGACTGTACACTGTAGCCTGGTTTGAATATGTATTTCCTTGGACAGAACTGACCATTGTGCTGTGGAGGGAGAGAAATACTAAATTATATAAATATTGAATTACATGGACATTGAAAGACCAAAAAAGGACGTTCATTCATTCAGTAAATATTTATTAAAAACCTTTATGTCCTCAAAACTATTACTTTGGGACAAAGAGACCAATAAGTGTGAGGAAAAAGGTCTCTGGCACCATGGAGTTTCGAGAAAGCCAAGGCTTTCTCCCCACAGGGGCATTTGACCTGGCCCCATTGGGTCCCTGTGCATCAAGGAGCTCATTCTAGTAACGCTGCCTTGCAAGGCACTAACACAGTAGGCACAGAGGGACGCTAAAAAAAGCACAGAGCACCATTTCATCCTGGATTATGTGCTAACATACAAGAGTCTTTAATCACAGAGGGAGCTGTGTAATATTCTTCAAAAAAAGGAACAGTGAGCCAAATACGTTTGGGAACTTAAATATTCTTGAAGGTGAAAAGAAAAGGAATCTCTGTCGATGGTAATAGCTGCTACGAAGACAGAGTATAGTAGAGAAGAGGTCGAGAGTACCTGGGGCAAGGGATCCTAGTTTAGGAGGGGTGGACCTTCCAGAGAAAGCAACACTTTAAGCAGAGAACTGAAAAAAGCCAAAGAGGGGGTCACATGGGTTATCTAAGAAAACACATTTCAGACAAAGAGAACAATTGCAGATGTCTTCAAGGGTGGAAAATGCTCGGTGTATTCAGGGACCAGCACGGAAGGTGTGAGGGCTGTGGCAAACTAAGGGGAGCAGAGGGGACGAGTGCACAGGTAACGTGGCGGGATGGAGAGCAAGGTACACCTGAGAACATACGAGGGCCTTTAAATACAGTTCACAGAAAGCTCCCACTCTCCTTTCATTCCAGCTGTCCGTGCACTTTCTGCAGCTCCCTGGACGACTTGTTGATGACGGGATTCTGGCTTCTACATTGGTCGATGGGGGCAGAAGAGTGACGTGAGTTGAACTGTTTTAAGAAGTTCATTCTGGGAAGAAGGGAAGCGAGGATCCTTGGGTGGTGGGAGGCTTCAGCCCTTTTGATAACGGTGGACATATAGGAGAGGACCACATTCTACATGGCTTTTGAAAGAAGAACCATCAAATGTTGCTAATGAAGAAAGCAGTGACTGTCTGAGGTTTAGGACCGATGGCAATGCAACTGGTAAAGTGCCCTTGCACAGAAAACTAGAAAACAAAAACTAGAATAGGTTTTTTGGAGGAGAATCAAAGTAAGGCTTCAGAGCTCTCTATGAAATACATAAGAAAATGAGCAGGCAGCCATCTATTTAAATATGAAGTCCAGCAGAGTTAGGACTAGAACTATGGGTCAGGGTGTGGCCAGTATGTGAATGGTATTTAGAGTCAGAGGACTGGATGAGGCCCCTTGGGGAGGAATGCTGATGGAGAAGAGGCAGGCCATCTCCCGGATGACTAGACCTAGATGCCGGAAGATTAAAAGGTGTTAGTTAGGCAAAGGGGAGTGAGGAGTAGATGGTGATGGACAAGTGAAGACGGAAGCTCTGAAAAACGGCCAAAGAGGAAGCTAGACCAGAGCGTGTACACAGGTACAGATGAGATGGGAGCTCATGACACACGGAACCCAGGAACTGGAGTGGGAATAGTGAAACCAGAAGGGTAGGGGCAAAGGGGGGAGAGAAGGGGAACCGATCACAATGATAAACACATAACCACACACACACCGCCAGGGGGAAGAACAACAGAAAACATGGGGGAAGGGAGACAGCGGTCGGTATGAAATGTGAAAATAACAATAATTTATAATCTATCAAAGGGTCATGGGGGGTGGGGCGGAGGGAAAAAAGAGGAGCTGATATGAAGGGCTCAATAAAAAGTAAATGTCTAGAAAAGAATGATGGCAACATATGTACAAATATGCCTGATGCAATCAAAGTATGGATTGTAATAAGAGTTGTAAGAGCTCCCAATAAAATGATTTTCTAATAAAATAAAAAAAGAAAGAAATGACCAATGGATTGGATAAATATGGAATTCACCAGTATCCTTGGTGAAAGCAATTTTGATGGGCTAGTTAAGAAGAAAGCCTGATAACGTCACTGCTCTTATTTCCCTAGAAATACAGAAGTAAATTATGTGGTCTTCCCTATATTCCCAACACACATACCAGCTTCCTATCCCTCCCCTTCCTGCTACAAGGGCCTGTGAGAGCGCCCCCCTACAGGCTCCTCCACTCGTGTTTGACTCCCATTTATAGAGAACGCTTTCAAGCAGCCGGCGTCACAGACTACCTCTGCTTCCTCTCTTCTCGCTCCCAATCTGGGTTTCTAAGATGCGCATAAAACTAGTTTGGCTTTATGAAGAGAAATACTGGGATAACTTCATATTGAGATTATTTTCCCTATATTTCTAGCAAAAAATAAGCTACGTAATGGACAATTGCCCCCATGTTTCAAAATATCTACTACCATTTATTTCTAAAATTCTTTTAACCCCAACTGCTAGATCATTTGTAAGCCAATTGTGGATCAACTCAATGCTTTTGTACTTTGTGATTCATTATCATAATAGATGGTAATTTACTACCATATTCTATCAAATAATATGAAATTTTATGTGCTGTTTCAAGGTATCATACAATCATGATAATTCCATATATAATGCATTGTGAAATGTAAAGTTGAATGACAAGATGTTGAAGTTCTTGTATACCAATAAGCACCACAATATTGCTGTAAGGGTGTAGAAACTAAGCACTCAACTCTAGATGCAGAATTCCCAGTTTTGAATCTTAGCTAAATAGGGCCTTCATCACTTTGTGACTCAGCTTCTCCATCTAAAAGGTGGCTACCTTAGTTTCTGGGTGGTAGGCATGCTTGTTAATACTCTCAGCTTCTAACTGAAAGACTGAAGGGAGTTCTGGTTCACCCAGGGCCACCTCAGAGGGAGGTCTGGCAACCTACTTCAGACACCTGGTGCTGGCATTTCATAGGCTATCCATGTGGAATAAAGGCATGCACACGGTAAGTAAGACCCACAGCACAGTGCCTAACACGTCGCCACAGTGGCTTACATTGTGGGCAATGAACCACAAGGTTAGCAATTCCAAAACTCCTCAGCAAAAAGATGGGGCTTTCTACTCTCATACTTTCCATCTGGAAAGCCCCCGGGAGTGCTACCCTGTCTGATAGGGTCACCAAGGGTCAAAATCAACTCGATGGAAGGTAGTTTGGTTTTTTGGTATTACTAGCTAGAGCCACTGGGAGTCATAATCAACTCAAGGGCAACTGTAATTCCTACCTTGTTCTATCTTCTTTATTTTAATTTATAATTCATAAGTTAATCTCCTAAATAACTTCTTACCCATCACTACTATCATTATGTACAAGGAGCCCTGGCGGCATTATGGGTTAAGGTTCAAACCCGTCAGCCATTCTGCGGGAAAAAGTTGAGGCTGCCTTCTCCCATAACAGGGGTTCCCAACCTTCCTAATGCAGCGACCCTTTAATACAGTTCCTCATATTGTGGTGACCCCCAACCATAAAATTATTTTTGTAGCTACTTCATCGCTGTAATTTTGCTACTGTTATGAAGTGGGTGACCCCTGTGAAAGGGTCATTTGACACCCCCCCCAAGGGTTGGGGCCCCCCGGTTTGGGACCGGTTTTCTCTAAAGACTTAGTCTTGACGCCAGAATCAACTAGATGACAGTGGGTTTGTTTCTGTTTTTCAGTATATACAGAATTCATTGGTGGTATCAACAGTTATGTGCTTTGTCTACAAACTAAAAGGCTGGTGGCTGAAGCCCACCTAGAGAACATCAAGAGAAACGCGCGATCATTTGTTCCTGAAAGGTCACAGCCATGAAGACCCTGGGGGATCAGTTCTACTGTGCAACAAATAGGGTCACCGTGAATTAGAACGAATTCAGCAGCAACTGGAACATTCCTATCAGAACACATTGCAGTTAGAAACTCAGCATTACTTGCCAATATACTAATCTCCCTCATTTTAAGTTAGTGCTTATGTTTCTGACTATTCTATTGCTCTCATAGGCGTTCTCATTATTCTTCAGCTACAAGTTCCTTAGTGTAAGATGACCAGATGTCATGCTTTTGGCAGGACAGTCACGATTTTTAACAATTTTTCCTGTGTCCCATGGGATTTTTAAAAAGTCCCAATTTTTGGAAAGAATGCACGACAAGCTAGGGTATACAGTTTTTGGCTGCCATGTGGCTATTTCGCCAGGATATGAGTTTGATCAATGGTGTCCCGCTTTACCAATGCTAAAATCTGGTCACCTTACCTTAGTGCGATATATTGGGCCATTCATTACTTGATCCTTGACACTATTTCAAACTCTCTCCCCTCCAATTATACATTTTAATACTTTAGTACCAGAGTATGCTCCACCACATGATGCTACTTCATACCTGTCTTCGCTCATTCACACTGCCATGTCTCTGCTCGTATGGAATATTTCTCATACTTTATTTCTCCAACCTAATAATATCACACTTTTGAGCATATTTTATTGGAAACCTCCTCTGATCCCCGAGGCCTCCAACGTACCTTGTATTTGTAATTAAAATACGTCACAAATTATATCTTCTTTCTGTGTTTTTCCCTCCCTGCCCAGTAAGCAACTTGAGAGGAAGAAACTAAATTGTGCTGGTATGTCAGACGTCTAGCAGTGTCTGGCACAGGCTACATGTTCACTCCCATTAACAGATGGGGTCACTATTGGACAAAAGTTGACTGGACAGCTCCTCACAGCACAGGAGAAGTATACGCCTTGGTGGCCTGCTAGCACTATCATTACCAACATTAGCAGGTGGAAGAAACTGCACCAGTAAGTATTCATCCCCAAGTATCAAAAAGACTGCCCTGGGATGAGAGAAGTCTGAAAATGGGTTGACTCAAACTCACTGCCATCAAATTGATTCTGACTCATAGGGACCATAAAGCACAGAGAGGAACTGCCCCTTTGGGTTTCTGAGAAACCAGTTCTACCAGGTCTAAGACAACGAGCTCACAGTGTGCATATAAAAGTGAAAGAGACTATTAAGATAGGGCAATTTACTGGTGATACAGAGAAGTAAAAAGGAAATTTTATAACAGACACGGTGTTCAGAAATACACCTATTCCTCAATTACTATCTTGTTATCCAACATTTTACATATATAATAGTGAAAAATCTGACTCTTTTGAGCAACAACAACATATGTCCTGGCAGTAAGGAATGCCAAGGTAGGAGGTAGGAGTAATGGTGGCTGTGATAGTTAAGGCTATATCTCAATTTGGCAGTTATATCCTAGGTAATGATGGAATCTGGCAGTTATGTAGTAAGAGTTCAGTCCCCCCACCCTCCTTCATTTTGTGTTCTGATATGGTCATCCTCCATTTTCACACAGTGCTGACGTTCACTTAATGACTTGGTCCTTGGCAACTAACCAGGTCAATAAATGAAGAGCGCAGGGTTCTATTACAGCACACAACAGGAAAAGTGTTGAAGAAGCGGGAAGCTAATAAAGGCTGCTCATACAAATAACAGCTAATCTAAGAACTACAAAACAGAAATCGGCCAGATTAAAAGGGTTAAATCTTTTAAGGAAATGCTTTCAAAAGCATCAATGAAATGAACATACATTTCTTGAGCAGTGAATATAGTGCAGGCTGTGCACACTGTCTGTACGTACTGAGCACTGCAGAGGCTCAGACAACCCGGCTACAGCAGCAGGGGGTACAGCTCTACAGCACATCACATTTACATTCCTACCAACATAGCATCTCACTTATAAGGATAATGTCCGAAGGACCTAAATTTTAAGAATGAAACCCAAGTAACCTCTCTCCAGAAAGAAGATAGTTGAGGCAGTATGTGACACAAAACCTGTTCCCTTTTATCTAGTCAATAAGCAACCCTTCTATGAATAGCTCCCTTCCCGCTTCCTTGTTATCCATGAATATGCATTTTCACATGATTTCCATGTGATGAAAAAAAGAGTTGTGTGACAGAGAAAGCTACACCTAATATTTCTTCCTGAGCTTCAAAACCCAGTAAGGAGGCCCTGTTTCTTGATGCCACAATAGGCCTAGATATTACCCTCCTTCTTAAGGTCACTTTAGACTACTAGATGAATAATTAAAATAATAACAAAAAATCCAAAAATATGACTACTAAAGAGTGAAGTCAGTATAGGAGCATTTCCAGGCAACTCAACACCAATGAAAAGGTTCTAGAGAGGTGCCTTTGCCTCTAGAAACGTGCGTTACAAGTCAGAGTCCCCTAGCTTCTAGACGCATCTAGTGAACGCAAAGCCTGCGTTTTTGTGTCACAGAGAGAGTTCAGGTCAGACTTCCACAGGAGCAGAAAAGGCGCATTCACATAATGAACAAGAATCTAACTACATGAAAAACCTAAACCCAACCTGTTGCTGTGATTCCAACTCATAGCGACCCTATCAGGAAAAAGTTGAACTGCCCTATGGGTCACGCTGTGACCTCTGTGGGAGAAAACTGTCACTGCGTTCTCCCATGGAGCAGCCGGTGAGTTTATAGCCCCAGTGCTCACTGCTCCACTCTGGCTCCTGTGAAGGACGGGAGGGGAGCACTCTCAGTAGATGATGAGAATAGAAACTGCAATATAAACTGAATTCCAACAAAGGGCAAAAGGGAGGAAATACTTGTCTTAAGAGACAGCCCCAACGTGTAAATTCCAAGAGTAAACAAAAACTTTCCATTTTCGTTATCTATTTTGTGGAAAAATAATAATAGTTATCAGATTTAAGCTTCATTAACATCTTTATCAAACATCATCATAAATTCAAATAAAAGCAAAATTACAGAAACTTGTGGTAAGAATATAGAAAACGACAGAGCTCAAGACAAAAGTGAGCTGCTTTGGTGAGTCAGCAGAACAGAGGAGTGGCTCACTGGCTAGAACGGAAATGCCTCAGGAGTTCCTGAAAACCTAACTCAGCACATCACACCTCTGTGTGATAACCATCTGTAGTAGGCCACTGTCTTTTCTTAACCCATTCTGAGGGTGACAGATGAGCAGGGAGTACTTCAGAGTTTCAACAACACTAACTCTAAGCAATAGCCAACAGTCAACATTTACTTAGGATATGAAGTCTGAGCCTGCTGACTCGGCAGGGCTGGGTTTGCAGAGGGTGGAAGGGCTCCTTGGCTGAGAGAGGACAGTTGCTCTGGGGGAAGGCTGTAGCTCTGGAGATGGCTCATCTGTGCGTTCCCTGCGACCAGATAAGCACCACTTTGAGGAGGCCCTGGATATACCTAAAACAGTTCAAGATAAAACACATTAGAGGATAGACTATTTTCTTTCAAGCCAATGCTATTTAAATATTAATAGGCATATCAAACTTTCTTTATAGAAATAATCCATTACAAAAAGAACAATTACATCTCTGGAATTGTGGGTTTTAAAAATACTACTCCTCTTGCTACTAAACTTACTCCAGCGGGCTTCTGACCTTTTTCCTTAGGTACATTTAGCCAAATTCAAATTTCCACAAAGAAGTAATAGAGGATCTTCTCTTCAACTGTTAGGCTAACATCATTCCTATTCTGATGTTAAAATTTTACATGACTCCCTAAAAGGAATCCTGTAATTATAGTTAGAAAGTACATTAAATTCATTTTAGATCAACTGGCTACATCTACCTGTAGATATTACTTACACTTAAAGTGCCGTTTTTGAACATAAAAGCAAGCTAATTTTCTAAAGCTGGGGTTAGCAAACGTCTTTTGGTAAGGGCCAGATAGCAGTAACTAGTTTAGGCTTTGTGAGCTTTTTTGTCTCTGGTATAACTATTTAATCTTAGCAATACAGAAAGCAGACACCGGCAATGTGCTTAAAGAATTAATGTGGTTAAATTCCAATAAAATCTTAGCTATACTTTATCACACTGGGAGATAGATCACAGTTAGCCGAATCCTGTGTCCAAAAAAAAAACACCCAAAAAATGGGGGGCTGGGGAGGGGGGGTGTTTTCTTTTTAATCTAAAGAGACTGTAGTCTTTAGTGCCCCAAATCTAAACAGACATTAACTTCCTAATTTTCTATTAGAGCCTTTAATTCTACAGGTTTAATGGAGAAAACCCCAATGTCCCAGTAGGGAGACCTTAGTATGGGTGGAGAGAGTAACATTATCATCAACAAACAAAAGCCGCAATTATCCTAGCACCTCTGTTAAACTGCACGACACACCAGCACCAGATCCCAAAGGTCTTCATCACAAACATATCCAAATCAGAGCTCTCCACTCTTAACTGGACATTACTGGACTGTTCAAATTAAACACAGTTAATTGTCATTTGTCTGATTTTTGCATGAACTGGTAAGACCCTTGAGCAGGTGTTCCATACTGGTCCCAGGTACTGCAAGCCTGGATATTCATCTCCAGAGTTCTGGAGGAAGAAGTCAGTAGGACAGGAATCAACTAAAAATATATATATTCTGAATACTGTCTATACCCAGGTAAAACACAAAGATAAATACTTCCTGTCACCTGGAGCTTTTGAGTTCATGGGAAAGTGGTTTGTAGAATAGCTTGAGGCAAAAAGAGGAAAGTGTCTCTCTGTTGTATTATATACATTCTCATATACAAGGAAAAATGTCCAGATTAATAAAGCTCACTAAAAAACTACAGATACTCAAAAAATTTTAGTAAGGATTAGAAATTCTACTGAGATATAGCTCTTAAAATATACTGATATCAGGGCTTCAGTCCTGAAGAATCAGTCAGTAGGTCTAGAGTGAAGTCAAAATTATCCAATCTTTAAAAAAAGGAGGGAAGGGGTGGAACCAATTATTTAGTTTGTCAAAGTAAACATTATTTTACACTTTATTTACATTCTAAACATCACTTCTAGGAAGTTTCACATTTCATAAAAACAAAGTTATACTAAATAATATAAAATATAAAGGATGCGCTTAAGTTTTTAAAAGCTCACCTGAGAACCAGAAACACCAGATGACTGCATATAATACTGCTGATTCTGTAGTTTTGCATACATGGAATACATTGGATCATCATTCATTAACTTGGTGTACAATGAAAGTGCTTCCATGATTTTCACATTAAGTTCTGAGAGTTCCGAATGTTTTCTGAAACATTACACATTAGTATGAAGCATAGTATTTGTTCACGTTATATATTAGAGCAACAAGACACAATACTTCTTTCCCCCTGATAGTGTTAAGAGGCAATAGCAAACATTATTAAAACATTAACTCTGTAATAGAAAACACCTGTGTTTTAGACCTAAGACACCAAGATCTTTAAAGGGGTTTAAGCACTGTGCTGGGAAAACTGAAGCTAATTACAATTTATTGCACTTTGAAATATCAAGGTTTCTTCTGTAGTTATTAACAAATGGGAGCATTTGTGGGTACTAGAATGCCAACTTACTCAAAGTGATTATATTAGTTAAGCCTAAGTCAAGGCACACACAGAAAACAAGTGAACTAGGGCTATCATCAAGCTGTGGGGAAAGCAGCAGCTCAGAGAGAACTTCAGGGAAGAAAGTACACAGAGTATGTAGCACATGCTCTTTTACCTGTCAATGTCTTCCAGCTTTTCATCAATGAGAGGCCCCATCTGGTGACACAGTGCTGAGATGACAAGAGTTGGATATAAGAAAACACAGCAAAAGAAAGCAAACCTTTGAGATTCATGTAATTTAAGAAATACAGGTTCTCATTTAGAGTGATACGTTATATTAATCCCAATTCACAGGACCTATGATGGATCTTCTTAAAGTACACATAAAAATGAAACTGGGTCTAAGAAAATGTATTTATTCTTTACCTGTTTCTCTATTTTATGTAAATATAAAACCAGATAAAGGGAAAATAAGATCTACCTTCTAGATGAACTAGCTCTGGCAAATCTGGTTGATCATCAGTGGGGTCTGTACTTTGCAACATCTGTAACAATTGGTCCATCTTCTCCTATGAAAATAATATCATTACACAAATCAACAAACCTTTAAGTAACAATATGTTCACACTAACTTACTAAGGTAATGGGTAAAGAAATTCTGTAATTCTTCGTTGCACAGAGTAAAAATTTGCTTTCATATAAATAATAAATATCTCATGTTCTCTTTTTAGTACCATTTGAGGTATAGGTTTGAAAGTTCTTATTTTTGAAAATTCTAATAAATCCTATAACATAGGAAAAACACAGACACATTTTAACACACTTTAGACTTTTAACACGTGAATTCTTCAACCTTTTGTGTCGTGCTAGTGACTCTCGGTGAAACTTGGGCTACGGCCGTTCCCTGGCCACAGACATGGGTGATATCCCCTTGAGGTGGCCATAATGATGACTAAGAACTCAGTCATTACTTCTTCACCACAGTGAGGGGAACAGCTGTTTCAGAAGTCCTAACTCAGCTACACTGCAGCTGTTCGCCTTCTAAGTAGGGCCATAAAGATTTATTGTACATTTTTTCCCTATCAGTTTGTCAAAAAGGAAAGAGGGAAAATGTGTGGTTTCTCTTTTCTCCTATGTGAGAAAGGCTAAAAGGCATTTCAAACCAATGATCCAGATCTATTTCAGAAAATCTTTTGTTGCAAACATCAGGGGAACTAATGAAGCCATCATATTTATTTATATGTATTTATAAAAACCAAAATACAAATCTAGTATACCAAAATATCTTACCAAATTAAATGCAAATGGTTATGTTCATTTCTACACAGTACATAGGGAAAATAATTTGGACTACCAAATTCAAAGTAAAACAGTCGTTTATAACTAAAACACTATCTGAGAGATGAATTCACCACTGAAGTAAAAGTGGTATGTGTTTAAAGAAAGAAAAAAAAAACACTGACCAGGTCTAAAGAATTTTGCATTTTGAAATGGATACTACATCACCTCACTCTTCATTTATCAGTTATGAAAAATCAGCTTTGTGCTGAAGTTAGGCTGTTTCTAACCACATGTGTCTAGTAGTGCTCCCAGGCACTGGACACCTGGCAGGTCTCAGGATGTGCATGGTGTAGCAGGCGCCCTCTTCCTGCCTCCCCTACCCCACCAGCTGGGGCCCAAGAGGGATGGAAGTGGAGGTGGTGGCAAGGTGTTGCCTGCCAGTATCCCCCTGCCGTGAGCAGGGCCCTGTCTGCTCTAGTCCTGCAGCTCCTTCCTTTTCCCTTTCTTTCCACAGACCTCCCCAGCACAGCTGCGCCTTCCTACCGGTGCCCCCGACAATCTCATTTCCTCTACTCACTGGCCTGCACCATTGATGGGCAGACTGAGACACTGTGGATGAACAGCAGGCAGCCTGTGGCCAGTTGGTTACTGTCCTTCTTGTGACCACTCATCACCAAGGCCTCTGGTATATTGTTCAGGGTGGCCCATGGAGGCTGCCCTAGGCTTGGCAGCCGCACCACATGGGGCCCAGACCATCATAGTCACTGACTGAGATTTTTTATTAAGTTGTTGTAAATGCAAAATTTCAGATCATCAATAAGTGAGAAATTGGTGTGCTTTCAATGTAAGATTCACAATTTTCTTTTGAAGTAATCTAAAAAATGAAGGTGCATGTAAGTTACTATAGAGCTTGTCTGCAACCACAAATGATAAAGTGAGAGTCAACTAACGTATGGATATTTTTATTTAATTTCTTTGTGAAATAGTACACTTTAATTCAAATTATTTACTGACAGAGCTAGAGTTTCTATATAGACCACTTGACTGACCCTATATGCGTTTTTCTTATGCAATGCAATGAGGCAAACACAGCTTTCCCTGGTCCAGTGTAGCTCCTTGTGTGTATGCAGTAGTCTTCACATTGTCTACTACTGCCTCCTCCTCAAAAATAATGATATAAACCTATGGATTCCTCCTCTACTTTAAAAATTAACATCATGTTTTTCATTAATAAGGTAAAAATCTTACTAAGGATATAATTTAAAAATGAAAGTCTTCAAACAAACTTTTAAATATATCCAAAGAAACTCAAACACTCTTATCAATTTGTATGCATTATTATTGTTATTTTAAAAACACAATGAACAATCTGCCAGGAATTTCATATGGTTTCATATTTCTCCTTGCCATTATATTTCTATCCAATTTCCCTTACAAAATATAATCTTAGCGTAATATACTTGAAGGTCTTCTAGAAAGTACCGTATCAAATTTCTTCATCAAAAATGTAGATAAAAATTGATGATGGTGCTCTAAATGTTAATAATTTCATCTAGATGAGTTAAGAATGACTAATAGGTCAAAAAACCTGAGGCAGGGTTCTGCATCAATTCTTTTTCTATTTGGTTTTATAGATGAACTTAATGAGAAATCATGCTTACAAATTTAAGAGCTGCTATAGCAAAATCCTTCAATTATTTGAATAATTCAATTATTTTATGCCAGAAATCACTATCTTGTCATTAACACTTATTTTGAGAGAGCTATCAGCTGACAACTCATTTCAATCCTATTTTGTTGTTAACAAAAATATATAACTTGCGTGAGTTGAGCTAGCCAGTGATTAGAGCATTTGTTTTCTTAATACAAAACACCAACATTTGGAATTATCCATGGAAATTTACTCAATGGCAATATACCACAGTAAAATTCAGTATAGTAAGGAATAAGCCTTTCTTCTGTAAAGTGAGAGAGGGAAATGTAATAGGACAGGTGAAAAGGAAAATGGCAAAAGGTGCTAAAAAAGTGCTCTCCAGGAGATCAGTTTTAGAAAAGAGTACTTATGGATTTGTGGGTTACACATTAGGATGTGAACTGCAAGGTCAGCAGTTCAAATGCTCTTTGGAAGAAAGATGAGGCTGTCTGCTCCCATAGAGATTTACAGTCTCAAAAGTCAAAAGGAGAAATGCTAGTCTCTCCTATAGAGTCGCTATGAACTAGAATCAATTTGATTGCAGTGGATTTGGTTTCCATTACTTAAATCCTGAAAACATTTTCTTAAAACAATCTACACTCCAGGTCAGTAAAACTTTTCTGCAAGGGCAGATTGTAAGTGCTCTAGACTCTAAAAGAGTTCCATAGTCTCTGTCACAACTATTCAGAGCTGGCTCTGTACCACGAGAGCAGTAGAACAAATGAGCCTGACTGTGTCCCAGTAAAACAAGTACATAGATGGATTGGAAGTCCCCACTAAGCTGAACAAATCAGCAGCTAACTACTAAAGCAAGGAGACAAGGTCCCTTCTACTTCTCGGTGCATTCCCAGATAGCTCCTCTACAAAACACAAAGCGCTGCTCCCAAGTACTCCACTCCATTGTTTTCCACATGAGTGAAAAGTACTGGAAAAAACTTAATCCTACTGGAAAAAACTTAAACCTTGTAAACAATAAAATATGAGAAATCCATCCTGGGAAGTATTAAGTAGGGCATTAAACAGCAACAAGACAGAATTAAATATTACAGAAAGATTGGGACTAGAGGGAAACTTTCAAGAAGCACCTTGCTCAGTCTGTAGTATTTAAACTTATATAACAAAAAGGATGCATTCTTCGACTCATCAATGTATTTTAAGAAGACAAGAAAAACAATTCAACTTCAATATCTATACAAAACAAAAACAGCTATTACCAAGGGCGCACTTACTTCATCAATAAAGGCTGGTTCCGGCTCTGGTTCTATTGTCTCAACCTGAACATCATCACTAAATTGTACCGTCTTCTTCTCTGTTTTAACTGTAAAACATGTAACATTTACCTTTTCCTTATAAAAAGTTTAGAACTCAATTTTAAAAACAAAAGTCCCAAGTGGGAAACTGGAATTTTCTTCTATCACTGCTAAGTTCACTCAATTTAGTTCTAGGTTCTAAATTTAGGGCATAATGACATGAAATTCCATCAAGATTTCTTGATTTTCTCTTCTGAAGACTTTATATTTTTTCTTAATAGATAATTCATTAAAAATAAAAGTTAAATTCCTGAAACCAAGATTAATCATCTACCATATATATGAGAATTCAGTGAACTTGACAAAAAGAAAACTACTTTTATAATGGAAATATAAACTCTACGATATAAATTAAACTTTTAAAATTATCAGTCCTTTCAAAGAAAAATCTCATTTGATCAAGAAATCATGCTACTTTAATATAACAAGGGATAAAACTAGTTATATATTTCCTGACATATCACTCGAAGATGTTTTACTACTGGATTGACATCCAACTCTGTGGAGAATTTTGCAAGTGGCATTGGCAGACCTGAATTTTCCATTAAATCAACCTGTATTCTTTTAGACAACATATGCCTTGCAATGAAAAAGTGTTTATTAAAAGATGAACAAACTACTGACCTTCCCAATTACTCACATTATTTTTTTTTGAGATTGTAAATCTTTTTTTTTAAATCATTTTATTAGGGGCTCATACAACTCTTATCACAATCCATACACACATCAATTGGGTAAAGCGCATTTGTACATCATT